GCCGGGGGGGGGGGGGGGTGGCCCAAAATGCGGTTCTGAACCGGAAGGCCTCTGGAGCGCGCCAGTGGTTGCTTTTTGTCTTTCTCTTAGTCAGTGCAAAGTTCTTCAGCTACAGGTCCCTTGGTCGCTATCTGGAAGACCAACTCCTGCCTCCTTGCCCTTACCTGTGCTCATACAGGATTTTAAAATTTTTTATTTTTTATGTGTATGCATGTATTGCGTGCATGTAGGTAAGTGCACCCGTATCGTGCAAGGCCCGGGGAGGACAGAAGAAGCTGTTGGATCCTGCTGTAACTGGAGTTACGGACAGTTGTGAGCTGACACGTGGGTGCTGGGATTCGAACCCGGGTCTTCTACAAGAACAGCCAATGTTCTTAACTGCTGAGCCATCTCTCCAGCCCCAAAAGATAGTTTTAAAATCCTGTTTGTTGGGCGTGGTGGCGCACGCCTTTAGTCCCAGTATTCAGGAGGCAGAGGCAGGTAGATTTCTGTGAGTTTAAGGCCAGCCTGGTCTATATAGTGAGATCCAGGACACCTGAGGCTATACGGAGACCCTGTCTCAAAAAGGCCCCCCCCCCAAAAAAAAGGAAAGAAATGGGTGGATATCTAAAATCATGGGAACCACCAAAGTTAAACCAAGAAGAGATCAACAGTTTAAACAGACCCATAACAAAAATTCTCAACAAAATGCTTCCAAACTACATACAGATGTACATCAAAAAGACTGTTCACCACCAGGTGTGGTGGCACATGCCTTTAATCCCAGCACTTGGGAGGCAGAGGCAGGCGGATCTTTGTGAGTTTGAGGCCAGCCTGGTCTACATAGTGACTTCCAGGACAGCTGGGGCTACAAGGAGACCCTGTCTCAGAAAGACAGAAAAAAAAAAAAATCACTCACCATAATCAAGTAGGCTTTATTGCAGAGATGCTGAGATGGTTCAATATATGCAAGTCAATAAATGTCATTAATCATATAAATGGACTCAGACAAAAAAACACATTGTCATCTCAATAGATGCACAAGAGGCTTTTGACAAAATTCAGCATGGATTTATGTTCGAAGTCCTAAAGGGAATTGGACTGGAGGGAACATACCTCAACATAATTAAAGCTATATACAACAAACCCACAGCCAACATCATTCTAAATGGAGAAAAACTGGAAGCATTGCCATTAAAATCAGGAACCAGACAAGGATGACCACTATCTCCACTCCTTTTCAACACAGTGCTTGAAACTCTTGCTAGAGCAATAAGACAGGAAAAGGAAATTAAAGGAGTATTAATTGGAAAAGAAGAACTATCACTTTTTGCAGATGATATGATACTGGAACTGATCAACATTTTCAGTAAAGTGGCAGGTTACAAAATTAGTCAACAAAAATCAGCAGCCTTTTTATATACCAATAAAAAGCAATTGGAGAAAGAGTACAGGGAAACCCTTCCATTCACAATAATTGTAAAAAAATAAAATATCTTGGAATAAACCTGACCAAAGACATCAAAGATCTCTACAATGAAAATTTTAAATCGTTAAAGAAATAAATTGAGGAAGACACCAGAAGACGGAAAACCCTCCCATGCTCATTGAGTGGATGAATTAATATTGTGAATATGACCGTCCTACCAAAAGCAATATACAGATTCAATGCAATCCCAAACAAAATCCCCATGACATACTTCACAGAATTAGAAAAAAAATCCTTAAATTCGTATGGAAGCATAAAAGACCCCAGGTAGCCAAAGCAACCTGAGCACAAAGAGCAACACTAGGGGATTACTATACCAGATCTCAAAGTATACTGCAGAGATATAGTCATAAAAACAGCACAAAAATAGACACATAGATCAAAGGAACATCATTGAAGACCCAAACCCGAGTACATGCAATGTCAGCCACCTGATATTGGACAAAGGTGCCAAGAACACACAATGGAGGAAAGACAGCATCTTCAACAAATGGTGCTAGCAAAACTGGATCTCCACCTGTAGAAGAATGAAACTAGATTCTTATCTTTCACCTTGCACAAAAGTCAACTCCAAATGGATCAAAGACCTCAAATGTGAAACTGGAAACCCTGAAACTATTAGAAGAAAATATTGGCAGTAGCTTACAAAATATGGGTGTAGGAAAGGATTTTCTAAGTCAGATAGAAGTTGCTCAGGATTTAAGGTCAATAATCAACAAGTGGGACCTCATTAAACTAAAAGCTTCTGTACAGCAAAAGAAACAATCAAAAAAGTGAAGAGAAAACTGACAGAATGGGAAAAATTCTTCACCAGTGACACATCTGACAGAGGTTTAACATCCAGATACATAAAGAATTCAAAAAACGAAGAATCGAGAAACCAAATGAACCAATTAAAAGATGGGCTAGAGATATACACAGAGAGTTATCAAAGGAAGCAATAAAGATGGCTAAGAAATGTCTCAAAAAGTGTTCAACATCGTTAGTAATTAGGGAAATGCGAATTAAAACCACCCTAAGGTATCACCTTACCCCAATGAGACTGGTTAGGATCAAGAGAACAAATGATACCAAATTCTGACGAGAATGTGGAGAAAGGGGAATGCTCATTCACTGCTGGTGGGATTGCAAAC